GAGGAAGAGGAGGGAAGGCAACTGCGGGCGCTTTCTGAAGCGCCGCCCCCCCCAGCTGCTCCCAACCTGCCACTTGCCGCCGCGACTCCCGCTCTCAGCCAGCCCGTCCTCTTCGGCCTCCCCTCACGCTCGCTTCTCATTGGGCCGGGCCAGTGTGAGGTCACAATCGCAGAGTCTCTGACAGAGTGATGTCATAGTGATACACCTGAGCACCTGCGTCACAAAGGCGAACTAGTCATAAGAGTGCCTGTACCGCGGCTCTATTCTCTCCCCCCCCCCTTGCAAAAGGGACCACTTAATTTATCAGGACATTGTATCCCCCCACCTCAATCCCCGTCTGACATAGTAACATCTTCCGTTATGAGCGGGGGCCCCATGTCTCAAAAACCAAATAAAACTAAAGGAAAAAATATGAATACTTCTAGTTGCCATTGCTTAAAGCTTGTCATCTCTAAAGTGATAAAATATATTGAGCCTTTGTAATAACGTACCACGCAAAAAGTTAAAACATACTATAGAGGAGGCACAGTTAGTATTTTATTTTTGTTGCCTGCCTGGACGGCAGAAACAAGGAAGTTGTTACACTCAGGAAAGTCCCCAATTCACCCCTACACGAGTCTCTTCCACATGGCAGCAGGCAGTATATTAAAATTGACTTCTATAGAAAAACCAGGATTGTAGGTTTATTTTCTGCATGTTAATTAGCAGGAATTAGCATGGAACTGATGAATGATTTCCAGGAAATTGTTGAATTCCATGGCTATCACAAGAGGGGAACTTTCAGCTGGTTTGTTCAGGTATGCTTATATTGAATAGTTAAAATAAACATTACTGTGAATTTCTTGATTTTTCATTTATTAAATTGCTTTAATATTGCCAGATAGGTAAAGAACCAGGTAGTCAACTGAAAACTTATTAAAAATCAACAAAATAATAAATTGACTAGTAAAGATACATTGCACATATATTCATGTTTGTTCAATCCAAAATACATTAGCCTCTATGAATTCTCACTGAAAATAATTCCAGCAGTCATCTTTTGAAAAATTCTGCCTGTCCAATTAAACTAGAGGGGAAATTTGAATATCTCTAGTTTCTCTTGCTTAAAGCTATATCTTGCTGATGACTACACAGATGTGAAGAAAGAGCAATTAGAAAAGTATAAGGCAAACTGTTTTGAACACGCCTCATAATTTACATGGTGCATCTATAAAATGTTACCAGCTGTTCTTCCCCCTCAATTTTCCTCCCTTTTGGGATGTGTGTGGAAACATTCACATACAGTACAGCTACTTACCGTTGTGATTTCCCTTTGGGGGAAGTGTGCCATCTGCTGGATATTCACATTCCCACATTTCAAAGGCCATTTTTAATCCCTTATGTCCATTACAAATTTTCATGGGCAAAGAAAGTTAGGATGGTAGGTTTTTAGAAAAGCAGCCATTTCTAGTGCCACACCACAAACAAGATTCTTCAAAGGACAGGTTTTGTTTCACCAATTTATTAATAGGCTAATCCAGGGAGTTTTAAACTATATTTTGTTATACCCTAGGATTCCAAGAAAATGTGATAGGGTTCTGTCAGAAGAAGAGGAAAAACACTCACTTTAATACAGCCATTTTTTTAATAATTAAAGCTTTACCACCTGAATTGATGTTCCAAGATTTTTTAAATTCTGTGGTCTGAAAAACATTTAAAACTCTTTTGATTAATTTGTTCAACTAAAAACCAAAAAGGAATCATGCTGATTTGTTAAAATTAACATTTATTGCAATATAATTCGGTCTATACTCTATATCAGTGGTTCTCAACCTGTGGGTCGGGACCCCATTTGGGGTCGATCGACCATTTCACGGGGGTCGCCAAGCAAGGCTGTCTGCCATTTTTTTTGTCCGCCATTTTTTTTGTCCACCATTTTTTCCCCCTTTTCCGGCAGGTGCCTTACCTCCCTTGAGTTGGGCCAGCTGGTGGTCGGCCTGCTCCGTCTCTGCCGCTTGCCAGCTACGCCTCGGCCGGCGCAGGGGGCGGAACCACGCATGCGCGGCGCTCCCGGGCAGGGAAAGTCCTCGACTTACGACTGGTTGGGTAGTCCTCGACTTACGACCGGTTTAGTCCTCGACTTACGACCGGTTTAGTCCTCGACTTACGACCGGTTTAGTCCTCGACTTACGACCGGTTGGGGTCGCGGCATTAAAAAGGTTGAGAACCACTGCTCTATATGGATGTACTCCGCAGAACTCCAGAGTACATCTACATAGGAAAAGTCACAGGGAATGGAGATGAAAGATCTGAAAAAAAAAAGCCTCTGAAATTTGTATCATAGTGTTCAAATGCCTGGCCAGTCACAACAGGGATCAGTTGTATCTTACCCATAGCTGTGTTTTCCCAACAGCAAGTCTAACGACTATATCTCGGTGATCCCATAAACTCTCAATCCTATAAGCTGCTTTTATACTCTTGGCCACCAGATCTTTCCAATCAGTTGCAGAAGGATGTTCTGTTTAGATTCCCAAAATTTGTTCCAGTGGTGGTACTGATTGGACAACTGCTATGTGACATAACATTGATGTCTCATTGGGGTGGGCATGGATGGGGAAGTGTTCCTTGGAGGAATGAGTATATGTGAAGAGTCAGGGTCACCCAAGGTATAGTTCCTATTTTAGTTGCCCATCTAAAACAAGCGGGCAGCTATATCGAGCAGCAGCAATATAGGAAGGTGCTGTAGGCAAATGATAATTTTAATGGCAATGGTAAAGGCATCACTTTATATTATGTGAAAAAAGGCAATGGTAAATCACTCCTGCATTTTTACCAAGAAAACCACATTGGTAGAAAGTATAAAATGATTTATGAGATAGTGCTGGATGATAGGCCCCTCAGACTGGATGGCGTTCAACATGCTATTGAAGAAGAGTTGAGAATCTTTCAGAGTTCTATTATAGCGATATCATGATGTCACTGCGACAAATTGTTGATGTTGTCATACAGGAAAAAAAAATCCAAAGCTGCAAGGATAGAATTACACTGGGAAAATGGAAGGTAAGAAGGCAAGGAGCTCAACCCAGTGAAAGATGAAATGAAATGTTCACAAATGGACATCTTAGACATCAGTTAACTGAGATGGATTAACCATGTGATTGTAAGAATTGACACCAACATAATGTTAAAGAAATGATAAAGAATTGACACAAATGACTGTTATGAAGAAGAAGCTAATAGTTTAAGTTATATATGCTGAGGTGCCATTGATTGTCTGATCAGTGATAAAAATATTTGTTCTGAGTGGGATTACATATTTTGGGAATATAGATAAAACCTTTATTTGTAATGTTCAAAACAACAGACAAGAGCTAATATGGTGGAGTGGTTACAGAACTAGACCAGAAGCTGGGAAATGCATCTTCAATCATGAAAGTCACTGTGCCTCAGCCCAATCTACTGCATAGGGTTGTGATTGGGAAAATATAAAGCAGAATATAATTTCAAGAAATAAATAATCTATCAAGACTGGTGGAAATTAATCTTTAGGTAATGTTTGAGGACTGTGTGGAATAATGGTATTGTAAACCATAGATCAAATTAGCTCATGATTTACTGCTGGGCCCCCCAATATTTTTTACTGTTTATAAAACTGATCAGGTCCCTTACATTTACTACTTGGTAAAGACTAAATTACATAAACTACATTGCTAGAAAAAATAAGATAAAAGTCCTCTGTAAAATTTGTCTGTTGCTAGGAGGTTTTTTGTGGGTGGGGTGGGGAGGAGAGGATTACAATATATTGTAAAAAATAATCTTTTAATAAAATCTTATATCTGGCTAAAGTAGTTGGCAGCTATGAAAATTACTACTTATAGAACACATGTATATACATGCATTTTGTCTTAACAGTGATTATGTTCCAATTCTGCACTGATTTTATATAGTTGCCAATGTCAGGTTAAATAAAACACTAAATCCACATATTAATAGACATTTTGCATTTTCAGGTTTGCATTTTTTCTTTATGTTTTCATAAATAATCTTAGAATATCAAAGCTGGAGAACCTATCATTCTCTATAATTCTTCGTAATAATTTTAACCAATATTTCTCAACTAGAACTCCTGTGGCTCCAAGGAGCATTATAGGCAGTCCCCGGCTTACAACTGCAATTGAACCCAACATTTCAATTGTTAAGCAAGGCAGTTGTTAAGTGAGTCACATCCAGTGGTGGGATTCAAATACTTGAACAACCGGTTCTCTGCATGGATGCCACTTCCAGAAGTTTGTTCTGAGCCGGGGAGGCCTCCCAGGCCCAAAATGGCCCACTGGAAATGTGTCCGCGCCACTTCTGGCGGTCTGTTCTGGGCCTTGCAAAAAAGGGCTAGGGCATTAGCTGGTTCACCGAAGTCAACAAAAAATTAGCTACGGGTTCTACCGAACCGATGTGAACTGGCTGAATCCCTCTACTGGTCACATCCCATTTTATGACCTTTTTGCCACAGTTGTCAAGCAAACATAGCAGTTGTTAAGTGAATCAGGCCGTTATTAAATGAATCTAGTTTCCCCCATTGACTTTGCTTCTTGGAAGCTAGTTAGGAAAGTTACAAATGGTGATCACATGACCGTGGGACAGTGCAACTGTCATAAATACATGCCAGTTGCCAAGTGCCCAAATTTTCATCATGTGATCATGGGGATGCTACAACGGTCGTAAGTGTGAAAACCGGTCATAAGTCACTTTTTTCAATGCATTTGTAATTTTGAATGGTCACTAAACAAATGATTGTAAGTCAAGGACTACCTGCATTGTTGCTGAGGACTTCTGATTAACTGTATGTTAACAATACTTGCATGATTATAATTTTACCACCTCTGCAATATATAATTGATCTTTCCTTTTTTGAACTCTAGGGATCAAAGTGAGCAATGGTGTGAAAACTCAAATCTGAAACACTTTAATTGGGTGTAACACTGATTATTCTGTTACATGTACCTTAACAAAATACTGTAGAAAAATTTACAGGTAACTTTTAATTCAAGATTAACGGGGTGTCAAGACTAAAAGTAAAGACTATCCAATCAGTAGTCTACCATGAAATTAATCTCTAAGCACTTTTTTCTCAGTCAGTCTCTATTTTACAGACTTCAGAACAACATTCACTTTACTTTGGCTTTCAAGAAAGTAATTATAAACAATTAAAATTTACATTTTTGTTTTGATTTGAGGTCTTGTTTTAATCAAACACTGAAGAGGCAAAAAGACTGGTTAATTGTTACCTATACGTTTCTATCATTAACACAAATTAGTTAAATTTTAAGTGGAATAGTGTGATTTAAATAAATCCACAGACTCTATAAAATCAGTATTTCTGTGCAGCAGCTTTAATGGCTTGTTTTCTTGTTAAGTGAGTTATTGTGTCTTGAGCACAATATTAAGTTTAAAGGCCATTTTTGATGTGTAAAAATATACTCTAGAGCTACTTCTATTTTATTAATTTCACAATAACCTCATTATGGGTGAATTGCCACAATGGTTGGTTGACATATATTACTTGTCTCGGCAGATGTATTTTTCTTCTAAAAAATCATATATCAATAATCTCAGATCTGTAGGTAAAATCTACTGTTTCAACTCCAGCAAGCTGCAAAACAGTATTAATGGGGACATGGTCCAACCTGTTTTGGTCAAGGTGCACAAAGTGAATCTCATCACCTGGAACAAATGAGAAACAAATAATATTAACACTTTCATCTCCACAAAACACAGGTTCAGCATTAGCATGTTATCTAGCCAATATGGACTACAGATAGTCCTTGACTTGCAACCATTTGTTTAATGACCGTTCACAGTTACACCAGCACTGAAAAAAAGTGACTTATGATTGGTTTTCACGCTGACAACCATTGTAGCATCCCCATGGTCATGTCATCTAAATTTGGACACTTGGCAATTCACATGTATTTATAACAACTGCACTGTCCTGGGGTTATGTAATCCGCATTCGTAACCTTTCCAGCTGGAAAGGAAGGAAAATGGGGGATGCCAGATTCGCTTAACAACTGTATGACCATTCTCAATAAAATGGTTCTATAAGAATACACATTGTGCCAGACTTTGATGGGAAATATGGTCCGGGTCAGGCTTTAAAGACGACAGCCAGCATTCTGAACTGAAAACAAATCAGCAATCAATGCAGGATCTACGATACATCTTAGGTCAGGGGTCCCCAACCCCCGGTCTATGGACCGGGTACTGGGCCATGGCATGCCAGCAACGGGTCCACACAAACGAGCAAAGCCCCATCCGCGGGATACAGGCAGCACACAAAACCACGCACTCACCGGTTTGTGGAAAAACCTTTTTCCACGGAACTGGTCCCTGGTGCCCAAAAGGTTGGGGACCTCTGTTTTAGGTAATTAAATCTGCTACCTTTGGTTAGCACACTGCTGCACTTTGAAGCAACTGAAGTATACATGTCATCTTTCCAGGCACTCTTATGTAGTAGTTGTAGTAATCTAGTCATGAGGCAACCAGGGTGTCATTTGCAGGGTGTTCCGAATCAGACAGACCACCTAACTGGTGAATAGCCACTACTCCAGAAGGAATTATGACTCCAGGAATGGAGAAACATGAATTTGTCAAGAACTACAACTGAAGCCAAGACAATCACTAACCAACAGCAACTTTGCCTTGCAGGGATTAAATCAAACCTTATTTTGACCCTCTTACCCTCTATATACTGAGTTAGGATTTCTACAGCATCCATGGCTCCATGTGGGATGGCAATATTCAATTCAATACCAAGAAGATAGTGATAATATATGTCCCGAAACTGATATATGAGCTTTTTCAAAAACTTCATGTAGATGCTACATGGAAAGAGTTGTGACATCCCAAAATAAATGACTGTCTCTTTCTCCTTGCATACCAACTGAAGCTGCTTGCTAAGGAAGGAATAGAACCACTGCAAAAAAAGTGTTATCCTTGTCTTTGCAGGTATTTTACTAAGATACTAGGAATGTTGGAATCAAATGCTACTGAGAGGTCTACAAGGAAAAGGAAAGGTTCATTTCCTCCCTTCAACACCCAACAAAGTTCCAACAACTTTTGCAATAAAGTTACACAAGAAAGGAATGTTGGATTTGGGTCAGTAGTGAAGTGGCCTGAGCCCAGAAAAGGACTGAGGACAATGTCTTCCATTACCCAATCACATGGCTTCTGCTCTGAGCTAAAGGCCATTCCAACATGACTATAAAACAGATTTGCCTATCCCTGGCCTAGCCAACAAGAAGCTGTAAATTTATGGTTACCTTACCTGGTCCTAAAATGAAAGTGCCTCCCTGCTGAGCTGGATCACCCTGAAAATCAAATGCAGGGCTTGTCATTGCCCTCCACATGCTTTTAATGCTTCCTGATAGCAAACTGGATTTAACATGAGGGCTGTGCACTGAAAATAAGAGCAGAAGGGAAGTTCACTTGGCAAAAAGCATACATTAGCTCTGTTGGCATTATGAATACACTAGGCTGCAGACCTATAGGCAGCTACCAGCAAGCAATTCCATTAAGATTAGAACTAATTGCGAAGGAAATAAATGTGCTTTAGATCAAAGTACCTTGGATTCTAACATATCCCACATAGGAAACATTTCTGCATGATTTGGCACTGTCCAGGATTTTCCACAGTTGGAGAATATATTAATGTTTGAATCAAAATCAGATGCAGTTTGGCAGAGCAACAAACTCCTAAGGGAGGAGTCCCAGCCCCCGGGCTGCGGCCCACTACCGGGCTGTGGCCTATTCTTAATTGAATCGTGCAAATGGGCTGGCGGGAACTCATACCCGCCGGCCCACTACTCATGCAAGGGCTGCATGCACATGTACGCATGCATGTTTGCTGGCCTGCTGTTCCCGTGTCCCAGTTCTCTCTTCCCCTCCCAGCCGGGCTGCCAAGCTGCAAAGATTGGGGACCACTGTCCTAAAGGACAATTTTTTCTTCAATTGATACCTGCTATAGAGCAGTGATCCTCAACCTTGGGAGCTTTAAGATGTGTGGACTTCAACTTCCAGAATTTCCAAGCCAACTTTGCTATAGGAGAGGCTAGACAACCACCTGACAGAGATGCTTTCATTTGGATTCTTGCACTGAGCAGGAGGTTATACAGTGGCCAACATGGCCTCTCCAACTCTATAATCAAATCAGATCTGAATGGTATTCTTGATTTTTTTTAATGTATTTAAAAGATGGAGTTTTCAGTTTATACATCATTAAGTAAACATATATCAGTAGTTTCTGATACCGACAGTCAGTAGCACAACCCACCTGCTGAGCTGGAGGTTTCCCCTCTTTTCATGCCAAGAATTTTATAAATTTCTCTTCCTGGATCTACATATATTTCATGAGGGTAACCTGTCAGATTACAAAATGGCTGCAAACAACATATGTTAAGTATTAATGTAATACACAAGACAGTTCTATTTTTGAAAGCAAATGGTGCAATCCCGGTCACCCTTGCTTTTAAATCCCATTCCACTGAGTTGAATTTTCTTCCAATTAAACATGTTTAATCTGGGCTTTGGCAGCTCTAAGCATGCATGATAGAAGTACGTTCTCCTAAAAAGAATATGGATAATTTCCAGGAACTTGGAAAGAAGCTTTCAAAGCAGCTTTAGTGCCTACCTTATTTAAGCAGTCTTATTTATATAGGGGTATGCACATGTGTACATCTAGTATATATGTGTGAATGTGTTTATGGGTGGACATGCTTAGAGGTGCACAAACTGAAAAGAGCTACATTTACAATCACCTCAACAGAATAAACTTGCTCTTCACTTGCACTTACCCGAATATGATGATGTGCTGATTGCCCAATAACCATAAGTCTAACATTTGCATCCTAAAGGAATGAAAAATTTAAAAAAACCCAATCTTAAAATTGCTCACTAATACTTAACAATTCAATCTCTGTGCCAGACTAAAAATTAGATTCATGCAAATCTTTGAAGCAATTTTTGCTTTAACAAAGACTTGGCCTTCCTTTAAAGCAGCTTCATAAAATGACATGGCCTCCACTTTTAAATAACCGAGTGGAGCAGTGGTATCATTTAGCTACAGGAAATGAGCTCCTGCACATATGCACCAGCCCTTTTCCCACTGAGAAAAGCATCGGAAGCGCCTTTTAACAAAACGCAATGAGCCCCTGACAATAGAGGACAGATCAAATTACCTTCTCAGTACGAAGCATTCTGTTTTATACAGCAATACCAGAAACCTGGACTTCATAGCAGCTGAGGCATCATGTAATTAAAGATTTAGTGCTTGCATTATATATATTAAGTTAAATTCGGGTAGAATATTTGTTTTGGCATAGCAGAGTTTATGAATTTAGCTCCTGTGGTTACTTGATAATTCAATGAATTGTGCAAACCCAGACAATGAATTAACCCAGTAACCTAGGTCAGCATGTGGTTGAGACTACCCTATCACCCTAACATTAATGGTCTTCTAGGAATTTACAATACATCTCCATTAGTGGAGACAGATATGCTGCCATAAATACTTTTAGATCACTATGTTAATTGTATAATATTGCTGATTATACCAATCATACTTTAGAATGGTTATTTGAATGTTAACTATTTAGTGATAATTAAATCAACATCCCTATGACAAAATCACAGTGAGTCATTGTTTGCTAGTGCCAGAGGCTGTAAAAACTTGAGGTAGTATTAACAACTTTTATTACATAACTCCTTAGGAAGTGGATAGGGCCCTTTGCAGTATTCATCCTGCCACTTCTGCCTTATCTCCTTTTGAAAAACAACCTGTTGCAATAAGCATTACATTAGAACTAGGACAGGGGTAGGCAACCTTGGCTCTTTTATGACTTGTGGACTTTAACTCCCAGAATTCTTGAGCATGCTGGCTTAAGAATTCTGGGAGTTGAAGTCCACAAGTCATAAAAGAGCCAAGGTTGCCTACCCCTGAACTAGGATCTTCTAAGACACTGGGGATCTTAGCTTTCTTTGTTCAAAGGAATTCTTAGAAGCCTATCAAGGAATCATCACTGTAAATACCAGGAATGGCTAATCAATGTTTCCAAATATGTAGCACATCAAAATATCTAAATGGCCTGGAGTTTAGCTGTTACCTAATTTGAAAAATATCTCATTCATTTAACCACCAAGGCAGGGCAATTTTCAGAAAGATCTGAGATTCCTATGGGAAAATCCAGACTTTACACCTTCTAATGGTTTCCAATTCCAAATCATTTAGACCCTTAAAAAATAAGTTGCTATAAACTGACCAGGAGCCAGTGTTACTGTAGGTATCTTTCATATAGCTGATTTCAAAGTCTATATGGCCTTCAAGGAGCTCTGTATATTTCAAAATCTATTGGGGTTTAGTGACCTCAAAGGTCTACAATCTTCAGATAGCCAATTATGATTCTTTAAGGTGAGATTAGTTGCATCCTGAACTTTATCTTGAGGGCAGATGAAGTTTCCATAATGGATGATTAGCTAAAGCATACATTAATGGATTTTCTCCAAATCTGTATAACCTGACAATAATTACTTCTATAGCACACTGTATTAATCAACATCCAATATCTTAAAATTATACAGTATTTCAAAGGCTGACAATCTTGAACATGCACTTTTAAGACTATAATATAGCCATATTTTCTTGGGAATCAACACCAATAGACAATTCCCAGTAATTGTTCTTTTTTTCAACACAAGCATATATAAAAGCAAATTCACATTATGTAACTTTAGGGAGACTGCAAACTTCTATGTTAGTCGCCATATTATATATAACTTTTGTTTGCACTTACTTGCAAAAATTTCTTGGGAATTTTGCCCAGATCTTCCACATATTCTTTACAGATGTAGCACAAAAAATGCTGGAAAAACAAACCAACAATGGAGTGCTCACATTATACATTTGCAAGATAATCTTCCGTTTATTAAAGTCTGCTTTATTTGTCCCTGTGTGTTGAATTTATAAAGATCAGGGCACCACAGAACGATAAATAGGTTAAATGTTCTGCAACATTCAGGCACAGTGCTGATCCAGTTTTTTGTTCACCAACTTTACTATCTAAATTACAAAGAGGTGTGTTTACAGAACATCCTAAGCCACAAGCTACAGTGGCTGGTCACACAACAGGCGCAGCTTTAATGTGATTGCTTTGGTTCTGCCTTTGTGTGATCCATTCCCGAATTAAGTTTAATTTTGAATTAATTTAAATTAAGTAACTTAGCACTGCCTCGCGCGTTTGGAGGATAACGCGTGATCCTAGCCTGCACACGCTTATTCGGAAGTAGGCCGCACCCTCTAAACCAGTGTTTCTCAACCTTGACAATTTTAAGGCATGTGGACTTCAACTCCCAGAATTCCACAGCCAGCAATGCTGGCTGTGGAATTCTGGGAGTTGAAGTCCACATGCCTTAAAATTGTCAAGGTTGAGAAACACTGCTCTAAACGAGCAAGCGGTCGCGGCTGCGGGAAGCCCCTTGCCCTGGGCGAAATCCCCCCAACGTTTAGCCCGGGTTCAATCTCCAAACTGGCACGTATCATTTACAAACCGTTACCATTTGCAGTACTTGTCCCTCCGATCTCTCCGTTGTCAATCATGATGGGCTAACTTTACTAATAGAAATCCAAGATGCCTGTTTACAAACCGAAGGTTGCCCATGCTATAGCTTAGCCAGGAGCGCTTCAATCAACTTGGAGGCTGCCTTCCCTGCGCGTAACGCTTCGGCACTTTCCGCCCAAACTTTTCCTGGCATAACAAAGGCAACTGCAGATGTCATTCCACAGCTGGGTTGTTGCAGCCAGGCCGGGGGCCTCTCTCACCCTTAAGAAGATCACGATCGTCTTCTGTTCCTTGTAAAGAGCCCCGAAGGGGATCCTGTTCCCCACCGCGTCCTCCACCAAGCGCTGGGCGACGTCTCGCAATTCCGCGGGGTCTTCCTGGGCGCGCTGCCAATCCGTTCGAGCGGCGATTTGCTCCGTGACCGGATCTCCCATGCTGCAACGCCCCAACCCAAACCGATCCCGGCTAACAGAGCCAAGAGGGATGTGCGGATTCCGAGGGAGTGGTTTTCTTTCCCGTTGCGGGATGAGCTCCTCCTCCGGTGGAAGCCGCAGAAGCGCTTAAAAGGAGGGCGAGGTAAAAACAAACGAACAAACAAACAAAAAACACCGATTCTTTGGAAGTTTCCTCGATGCCGGAAAAGCACTCGGAGAACTCAGATCGGCTCTGACTTCACTGGGCTTTCGAGCAGCGAGGCTTTATTGTTTAGAGCAAGGGTATCCAGCCTTGCCAACTTTAAGACTTGTGGACTTCAACTCCCAGAATTCCCCAGCCAGCCATGGGAATTCTGGGAGTTGAAGTTCACAAGTCTTAAAGGTGTCAAGGTTGGATACGCCTGGTTTAGGTGTTGCATTCGTTTTCCCTTTTCTTTTCGGATCTCTTCAAGTTTTTCCCCTCTCGAACAGCCATGGAAGGCGACGGAAGAAGGCAGCTTGTTTGTGCATATATCACATAGTCTCGGAATGATGATCCCAAATAGTGGAACAGCCCGCCTCCTGGAATCATGAGTGCTCCCTCCCTGGAGATTTTCAAGAAAGGTTTGCCCTTTTTCTGGAATTGTATCAGGATTCTTGCATTGGGCAGGGGGTTGGACTAGAAGACCTTTAAAGCCCCTTCCAACCTGTGATTCTAAGCTCAGGGGTCTGAGAATCAAATAAGAGATAAGATAACCTTTACTGTCATTTTTTACTGTGGACATACTGGCACACATTAAAAATGAAATTCTGTTGCCTGCTCTCAAAGGTATATGCGTACATAACACACGTATAAACATGCTATAACATATGTATATACCTACACCGTTACATATAAATATTAATCACTGTCCATCTTGGATATATAGTGGAAAGAGGAAGCTTGAGAGTTCACAAGGTTAATACTGTATGGATCCAAACTGTGACTGAATCTGGATGTTCTGCTTCTGATATCACGAAACCTCCCAGAACCTTCTAATCCTGGGAATATGTGCCGGTCCTCACTGCTGAACTCAAGTGATAATAGTCCAAGCCTAAGGAAAACTACTATTAATGAAGTTTTAATATGCTTTGTTTGGGTGAGACATTTGTAAAGCTAATGATGGGTTAGGAAACCAACATGTGCCTTAGTCTGTTATGTGAACCCATCTAATAGTGGCATATTTGGATTTATATTTCAAATATCTTTTCCATTGTACTTCTTTATGTTGAAAAAGTGCTCCTGCCTTAGGGTGTGCTTGGTTGTGATTTAAGATTGTGTTCAGAGTATATGGGAAGTATATTCTGTTGTGATTGACGCCACGTCTATGGGAATTTTGTTTTCTATAGACAAATTGGATCCACTGCCACCGGTTGTGTTTGCTTCCCAAGTGACTTGTAATTTAGACTTCCCAGTTTGATGCCCTGCAGTTCAGATAGACTGTAATTTCCATCACGTTTACCCAGCAGGTTGGCTAAAATAACACTAATTCAGGAATTGCTATCTATATGCAATTTGGGATGCATACCCATTTTTATGGTCTCCAGAGTTCTGTGGAATCCTATTCTCAAAATTGGGCAATAAATAACTGTTTTTCAGCAATGCTATTTTCCACATTATTATAAAAAGCGGGGGGTGGGTGGGTGGGAAGAGAGCAAGCTTCAAAATAGACGTGCTGAGTGTTTTTGAATGCCTGAAACTGAAGAGCAAAACACCAAAATGGAAGGAAAATGGAGTTTCAATCCTGCCTTAAACATGAAAGTCAGCTAAGTGTCTTTGGGACGGTCACTCTCTCAGCCCTAGAAAGAAGGTAGTGGCAAATCACTTCCAAAAATTTTGCCAAGAAAACTGCATAGATTTGTCAATGAGTCATGACTTCTTGGATGCTTCTCCTTGCCTACAGATATCCAGATATTGCTGGATAATTGTTCCTAGAAGACATCTGGTTAAAAAACAGGTGAAGATGGCAGCCATGAAGATGCAATCATGGCTCTGCCCTTTTTGATCTGTGAATCAAATGGATGGTGTTTCACTTAACCAGCATGGCTGCCATATTCACTTTTTTTGTAATCATACCCCACGGACACCATTGGCTCCCAGCATGCAGTTGCAAGCAGTTATGGTTCAACTCCTGGAAAGCCGCAGGTTCCCAGCCCTGTTCCCCTAAGTTTGATTTAGGTTATGTAGAGTCAGTGTTTGACTTGAAGCTTTGTAGAGATATTGAGGTGCTTCAGATACCTTCTGGGAGCCAGGAAATGTCAATTAGCAGAGACTGGGAGACGAGACTTCTCTGCCATAGCACCTGCTCTCTGGAGCATTTCCCTCCAGAGACTAGGATGGACCTGACCCCACCGGCCTTTCACAAGGCCTTGAAGACCTGGCTATATGCCCGGACCTGAGGCCACAAGTAATGAAGGTCCCCCCGTTTCCTTGTTATGTTGATACCGATGGATTACATCTCCTGATTCCTATTTGTACTTATATTCTTTTTTTGTGTGTGAACTGTTTTAATTGTTTTTATGACTATTCATCGCCCACAGGTTGAGAGGGATGTTTATACAAACTGAATGAATGAATGAATGAATGAATGAAATAAAATAATTGGGAGCAACCCTAGCCCTGACAGCTGGAAATTGTAATCCAACATATTTGGAGGATACTAATTTGAAAATGCTATCTAGGATTGTAAGGTAAGCATGAAAGATGCTTTTATGAAGTAAGTAGATTTGGTACTAGCTCAGTGTTTCTCAACCTTGACAATTTTAAGGCATGTGGACTTCAACTCCCAGAATTCCACAGCCAGCTGGCTGTGGAATTCTGGGAGTTGAAGTCCACATGCCTTAAAATTGTCAAGGTTGAGAAACACTGTACTAGCTGTTTCCAGTAGCGACGTGGATGGTTGGAGAATGTGAAAAAATATCCTGCACTTTCATCAACTGACCACTGGGTGTCAGGGATGCATTGTGTTCCTGTAGCTCATAGGTTAGATATACCAGCTTTCTAACAATCAGACTATTTGCTGATTGTAGCAATAGCTCTCACATCCATTTTGGAGACGGTACTTGCCAACACACTACCCTATCATTTTTATTCTGATTTCCATTTTCTCTGACATATCCTGCATGGCTCATCAGTTTCCATTTCTTTCTTTTACCTTCCTTTTAAAAAAAAAATAAAAATTTGTATATTCTTGAATACTAAAAACAATACTAACTATGCAGCTATGTGACAAGAAAAATTGAGTTAATCTATGCTCTGGGCACTGGCCGAAATATGTGGAGTAATTAGGCAGTTATTTTCTGGCTAATGAGATTGCTGACGGGGACAAGCAAAAAGCCCTGTTTCTCTATGTGTACTTTAGTAATACATATGTTGTCATGAGAAGTTTGTTCCAGTCATAAGTGCCAGGGGCCAAAGTAAATGCTCCTGTCTGAAATTACACATCCAAACCAAATGTGATAATGTGATACTTCATTCCACAATTGGAGAAAGGAAGTGAATTTAAATCAGAAGGTACTGCTGTTTTTTTTGTGTGTGTGTGTGTGTTTTTTAAAAAAACCTCACAGAACATTGAACTTTTGAAAATATTCCAGAGGATATGTTGTGGAACAGATGTGTCTGTGAAATGGGGGATATTACCATCCAAAGTAAATTATTGGCTGAGGGGAATTTGATCTGGAATAAAAATATACAGACCGCAGCGGCTATGAAAAGAGCAGTGAAAAATGCACAAGATGTTCAGTTTAAAAAGACATTCTGCAGGAGCTGATAAAGAAGTGAAAGACTACATATCTAAAACTTAAGAGCAATGATTCTGAACATTTTTATAATTATGGACCACTAAGTTAACATTAGGAAAATTGGATGGGGGGGGGGAACTCAAATAAACAAATATTCTTTATTTAAAAGCATGGGAGCTCATCTTTTTTGAATATGATAATGATTATTGTTGGATTTGTATATCTTTTCCCATTCCTTCCATTTTTTAAAAAAATGGGTATCAAAAAATTTAATCTTAATTTAATAATTTACAGTGTATGCCATTTGCATTGTATTATGTACCCCACGTCATAATAATAATTCTTACTGTCAATATGCTGACCAAGAACATTCTTCAATAGAAATCTCTAATACTAAGGGTTATGGGTGAGTTGATCTGAATGATGAAATCCCATTTTTAATTCTACATCATCATATTTCCTATTCGGGTCTTCTTTTGGGATTGCTCATATGCATTCACCATTCCATTTAGCACAGCATATTGCACGTTCAGTCACTGACTACGTTTGTGATCTGTTCACTATAAGAGATGACCAGGTGGAGCCTGAAGGCGGGGTCAAACACACCATCAGTTTGGAGTCGCTACACTTCCTCAAATACCTACGTCCAGCCCCCCCATGAATTCCATTGACTTATCTAATTGTCTTGATCATTAATAGATCAGATTCTTGTGTATAGTCATCATGTAATAAACTTGAAGTGCTTTGAACTTAACTCCTATTCCTAGTTACTTGCATCTGACATTCACTATGGAACAGTTTTCTGAATTCTAGTACTCCCGTTTGACTACTGGTGACCTCCTGGACAAGTCCTTGCAGTTTTCTTGGCAAGACTTTGGAAGTGATTTGCCATTGCCTCTTTCCTAGGATTGAGAAAGACCAAAAGTCACCCAGCTGCCTTTGTGCCTATGGCAGGATTAGAACTCCAGTCTCCCTGATTCCTAGCCACTATACCAAACTGGCTTTCAGTTTGCTCTGTACTACATTCCCATTGGTGCTAGTAATATCAGCTACAGCCTTTAATAAATCAGTTTTCAGCCACTGATCCATTCTTTGAGAATGAACTAAGTACTGGAATATGTGGGGAGATGGGGCTAAGGTACCAAAAGGTTCAGATATGAAATTGGCTACTGGTTGTTGTTACTCACAGGGAGGTGTGGCAGAAATGATGAACTGGTTTTTGCTAATGGACAGTATAGATAAGGGTGGGGCTGAAGCACCAAA